TCACAGGCAGCCAAACACAGGAGTACTGTTGCTTACACAATTGCTCTTCAAACAGTAACAAACAATTTTCATTACCCAAGTCAGATCGAATCATCCGCCTGGCCATCCTGCTTCAATACCAGCCCCACATACAGGACCCAGGGCTTCACACTCTGCCCATTCTGCTGTGACAAAACTGGGCTCCATTTTGCCCCTGGCCCAGGGATGTGGGACAAAGCTCTTCCTCTGATCCCTTCTTTGAGCCGGATCAGCTGCACAGCTATCAAAACTGTCAGGAGAAACAGAGAAGACACAAGCACCTATGCAGTTTGGGGCTCGCTCAGATCTGGAGCGAGACATTACTCAGCATCTGTGTGAAGGAGGCACTCAGGAGCTTGGAGGATCCATTGACAAATTTAGAAGGAATCCAACAAGATAACTCTGGCTTCCCACCAAAGCATTCACTAGCCTTAGATGGAGTGTCAGGACATGACATTTCTTTATTTAATCTTTTTTGGCCAGACAGTTTTTTCAACCAGGAATGTGTAAGCTCATTCCAAAATGTCTGCATGAGAGGCCAGTGACATTCATTACTGAGATTTTTCTACCAGGTCTCTTAGGGAAAAAAAAAAAAAAAAACAAAAAACCTGTAACATTTTATAATTGTTTCTCAATGGTAGAGCATTTTAAAAGTACGTTTACATTTATAATCCTACTTGAATCTCAAAACAACTATGGGGACTGGCAAAGCTAAGGTTGTCAGGCCTAAAGATGAGGAAACAGTGGCCCAGAGAGGTTAAGGATGCCGTGCAAGGTCACAGAATGAATGAAGGGGTTGGGACACCAGAACTCAGGTCTTCTGACCTGGTTCAGTGCTTTGTTCTAGGACGCACCTTTTCTACACCCACAGAGTGCCAGACATTTCCAGGATAATTCATCCTGCAGTTCTGCTTTTCCAGTGTAACTCCCTTATCCTTTTCCTCATACTAAACTGTGCTAAGCACTGCAGGCTTTTAAACACTGTAGTCTAGGCTACAAAGGAGCATCCTTCAGAAAGGTTTCCATCGAACAGTCATCAAATTTTGTTTTGCTGCCACCCCGCACCCCCTACCAAAGAGATATACATTTCCTCCCTTTTAACAGCTTAGGTAAGGATTGTTTTAAAAGTCTGCCTGTCCAGTGTGAGGTCAGCACAATCAAAACTGGCAAATGACTGTCTAGGTCCCTTTCAGTACAAAACATTGTAGCATCCAGGGGTTGGCAAGTGGCAAAGCAAAGCCATTCACCTTTCATACCCTCATCACCTCCTATACCTAAAGGCCTATTCATTTAATTTTTTGAAACTTTGCTACATGGTGACTATAGTTAATTATATTGTATTGCATGTTTGAAAGCTGCTAAGAAAATAGATCTTAACAGTTCTCATCACAAGGAAAAAAAAATCTAGTAACTATATATGGTGACAGATATTAACTAGACTTATTGTGGCGATCACTTCACAATATACATGAATATCAAATCACTGTGTTGTACACCTGAAACTAATGTTATCTGTCAATTATACCTCAATTTTAAAACTTTATTTTTATAATTTTTAAGGTATTTATATACCATGAGATACACAGATATTAAGGGTACAGTTTGAAAAGTTTTGACAAATGTATATCTACACCCAAACCAAGATACATAACATTGCCATCACCCCCAGAAAGTTCATGCATATCCCTTTCCAGTCAACCCCACTCCAGGCCTGCACTGTTCTCATTTCTGTCACCACAGATTAGCTAAACCTGTCTTGGACATCAGATTAACTGGAATCATATTGTATATAAGCTTTTGTATCTTTCTTCTTTCACTCAACATAACGTCAGCCAGACTCATCCATGTTGTATCAGTAGTTTGTTCCTTTTTTTTTTTTTGATGAGTAGCGTTACGTTATTAAGTTTTCAAAATCCAGTCACATTACTGCTAATTTGCCCCTCAAAATTCTTTCCATTCAATGTATCTCCTGCATGCTCCTTTCCATGCATCTATCTCCTCTGTATCTCCTCAGCAATACTTGAACTGAGAAAGATATGTAAGTAGACTATTTTACCTCCAGTGATGCCCTTTTAGGTAGGAGTGGTTCTACCTTCAGGAGAAACTGACAACGAGGCAGTCCAGCATGGTGGTCATGAGTACAGTTTTCAGAATAGACAGATCTAGGTCCTCATTTCCAGTCTAGCACTTAACAGATGGGTGGTTGGGGACAGGTGGTTTAACCTCTCAGTGACTATTTTCCCATTTGTAAAATGAGAATAATAATACCTTCCTAACAGGGATTTGTGAGGACTAAATTATATTGTACATAAAATGTTTATGTTTATATTCTACAAAATAGAAACCAATAACAGCCTCAAGTTAAACTATAATAAACATCCTCCTGCTTCATTCACACACTTTCAGCTTCTCTAAGTCATAAAGTATAAATGGGTATATATTTTAAGAAGTTTTTAAAAATGAAGAGTTCATCATGATTACATCTAGAAAAGTCTAGGGACTTCGCTGGTGATCCAGTGGTTAAGACTCCTAGCTTCCACTGCAGGGGGCACGGGTTCTATCTCCGGTCAGGGAACTAAAGATCCCACGTGCCGTGGCCAAAAAAAAAAGTCTAACTGTCATATATTTACTTAACATAAATGCTATTTCCTCTGGAAAAAAGTAAAGCCTTTCATCATTTATTCAGTGACAATTACATACTGAGTGCTGACGCTGAGGGGCTCTTCAAAAGAGTTAAGGACATAGCCCTAGCTTTTACAATGTTTGGTTTTGGAGGGTAATAAGCACAAACATAACTATTATACAGAGTATGGTCAATAATAATGATAATAATTAACATCTATTAATATAGTGGTTAAGAGCATGGTCTCTGGAGTCATACTATATGATTGAAATGGTGGCTCAGTCATGTAATACTGGGGAAGTTACTTACCCTCTTTTTGTGTTATTTCACTGGTAAAATGGGGATAATAATACCACTTATCTAGCAGGGCTGTTATGAGAAGTAGATGAGTTCATACATGTAAAAAATTAGTACATTATCAGCACATTAAAAGTATGCAATAAATAACAGCTAACACTTATTGAACACCACGTGCCAAGCACTGTGTTAAATGGTTTACATGCATTACATCACATGATCTCCACAATGTTGTCTCTACCATTATGCCCATTTCACTCATA